TTCTTGCATGTAATGACTTTTCTACCAACGAAAAATCCGAGAGTCTATTCGTCACCAATATGGGAATCATCCGAGACGGTGTTTATGTCCGTCATTTAGCTCCGCCCCCCTCAATCAATATAAAAGCAGGTACAGATTAAAATGAAATATTCATTTTTCCACAGGAGCCACAGCTGGCCAATATATAAAGACTCTCTACGATCTTCAAAAATTCCTTAAAAATTCCAACAAATATTCGGTAGGTTTTACTATTTTGTAGTGAAAAATCAGTGACATATATATTTGCCATTGTGATACAGCATTATGTATGCAGCATAACAGTAAAGTATAGTTTTCTGCTCCCTTCTGTAAAATATTGCGCAAGGCGTCATTTTACCACCTCAGTTTCTTTTTCCACTGATCTGAGCCACTTCGGACATGTCCGGAATATTATCGCACGAGTTTGGGAGCAATCGGATATTTTCGTGTTGAACTCAAAAACTAAGGGTCGTAGAAAAAGTATAGTATGCAACACGTTCGGTGTTTATTTATCGCCCGCTAAACTTCCCTCCGCTCGTGCCAAATAGACTCGTCACTCAAATGCTGTTGTATACATGTAGCATAATATGTTATTTTAACATTGCTCCAAAAATTTGGATCCAATTTTGGATACAAAATTACAATACATAACTTGCAATGTTGCATTTATTAAGCTTTATTTCTGGGGCTGTTATCGCCTACGTGGAGTGGCTAAGCTTGATGTAAAGCGGAGTACGTAATACATATTATAATTAAAACTGAATCTCCAAAGTATCTTCATAAAAACTAGCATTTCGCATTCAAATCGTTTGGCGTTTAACTAAATTACTTAGAGTTCCAAGGCCTAAGAAAGAATACCTTAAGCTGACTCATTTATTTGTTAATAAATATAAATTGTTTTAATTTTGATAAATCGATTCTCACAATTAAGAAAATATTAAATAAGTCTTGTTCTTACTTTTTCTGTTTAAATTTTCATTTTTTTTGTGTGTATTATCTTGCTTCTTAGAAGGTTATTTTTATTATTATTGATAATATTTACATCTTCGCAACTAAGGCGGTTCTAAATTAATCTTTTTTACTATTCTAAATTATTAAGTGTGAGCAAAGTATGCCTTTAAGATGCGAGCTACTATCAAATGTTTTCGGTAAATTTTAGCCACCGGTATTTTGACGTTTTTCTGCTCTGATGGTCACGTCATCCGGCACTAGATGAATATATTCATGCTGTTTTGCAAAGATGGACCCTTAAGGTCGTGGTACAAGTATAGTATGGAAGACGCTGTTAAACTTCGCTGCGCTCGGGCCAAATCAAACTGGTGACTAAAGTGACAATTATGCAACATGTTGCATCATATTTTAATCTACAATAAACTGGAGCTTAAGTGCTTAAGTGCTATAGTGACAAGTAATTATAGGTTTATATGTGATAAAATAGTTTAATCCCGAACGGCTCCAATAAACACCTCGCGCGGGTTCAGTTTCCATCAACAAAAATAAAATGCCAAGTGTTGCGGTAAATAGGTTAGACGGATTTAGACGAACCAGACGTCTACAATTTATCGAAATAAAAGCAACGCGAACCGGATTGTATATGCGGACGCTAAGTAATAATATCGCCTAACGACAAAAATATGTATTATAATGGCCGGCAATAAGGAAACAAGTGTGTCAAATTCGTGTCTGGGTGAATATTCGAGGTCTGCGCTAGAAAACGGAATAGAAAGAATAGCACCGTAGGCCAGAACTGTTCGACTATGAAAACGTTTCGGTCTGCTCACCGGTGGCCGATGGAAATCAAATGGTTCGTTCCTGATGACGATCGGATGAAAGAGGCCGGAACGTGATCTTTGACGTTTGATTGTCGCACGAGCTCTGCGCCGTCGTCCGAATCAAAAAATATCTCGATGATCCCACGCCACCAGCGGAATATCTTTTAAAAGTTGCTTTCAGTACCCACATGAAGTTATTGCTTGCTCTACTCCAGCTTCCAACGCAAACACATTTTAAGATCGCATTACATTCTGCACTTGTACAGGTTGTCCAAAACTCCACTGTTTTAGAGTACTAAAGGCACACTTGTTCGCTGTTTACGAGGTGTGACTGAAGCGTAATGACACACAAAACTAAAAAATAACTTAAAGAAGTTGCAATTCACACTGAGCAATGCGAGAGTAGTGCTTCGCCAAGAACAGCGTCGCAGAGTTTAAAGTCTGATTACCACCTTGTATCAGACAAATCTGGCAATTCTAAGAAAATTAATAAACAATTGAAAATACACTAGACACCACCACCATGACGTGGAGCTTATCTAGTCCAATCAGCAGAGGAGATATTCACACTG